GGATTCACGAAAACACATGCCGTATGTACGTTGACTTCGCATCCGTATATTGCCAAGTTTTCGCCGGTCTTGGCGACGTTTCACAAGGATAAACCTAACGCTGGTCATCATCCTTGCCGTTGCTGTACCCAACTACTGTAATGTATACCATGGATAGATTGGGCATCCCGGCTAACCAAACGTTTTACTCGGCTGGCAACACTTTTGGGTTCAACCTGGGTGGGAAAACGGTTCAGCGCTAGCATCATTGTTGTCTTGTTGCTATAAATTTGGCGGTACATGAACACCAAGACTCCTTGAGTACGCACCGCAGGCTTCGTTGTTGTTGTCGGTGTGACACAAGCCGTCGCCCATACTGACAGTGTCGCAAATGTCGACGATGTCGACTGTGACCTCGTCATCGTCAACACAAGCCGCGTCGGGGTCGATGCAAGCGAAGGGGCCACCGCATTCGCCGTAATGCCAGTCATCATCCCGTTGCCAGTCGTCGTCCGCAGGCGGGGGCTAACGGGTGTGTATCCAAAGCAAACATTCAACGACAAGTGATGTGCGAGGAATGGCATACCCACAGTTCTCCACCATGTCGACAGTGAAACCGTCATCGCCAACACAGGGAGCATCCGGGTCGATACAAGCAAACTCGGAATAGTCGCGGGAGCAAAGCCAGTCGAAGTCGTCGCCGAATGGGTTCTGGTACCCGCGCAATCAGCAACAGACACGCAACAGTGCTTGTTCAGACTTGAGGACGGTAGACTGGAGTGGAGGTCAGGAGTCAAGGCAACAAGCGCCAAGCCAGGCAGAACTCGCGCCAGGAACAATAGAAAAAAACTGTGTTTTCAGCACGTTAGCAAAGCGAAACCTATCGATTGGCTTGGGGAACCAACGCCAGCGCAAGAGCAAGACACATGCAAGAGCTACGAATTCGATTTCGTCATTCTTTCTACACACCTACTATTGTACTAATAATGAAATGTGAGCACCCGCCCGTGCCCGTTATGTGCATCGCCAGGCAGGTGCGAAGGCAGAACTGACAGGCGCCCTCGCGTACAGTAAATTATTCTTCAGAACTGAGACGCGGGAATTCAGAGCAGAGAGATGGGGATAACTGCCAAGATGACAGGGGCCGAAGCACACACTCTTTTTGAACTCCCTCGCGCTCTCGTATTCTCTTACCACACACGTGCACTCGCAGCAGTCACCCGCGTCGTAGCCTGAGGCAAGGAGGGGCGACAAGAATCAAGAAGGGATGAGGAAGTTTTTAGATACATACTTTGAAGTGGATCGGAAATATCTCGGATGCATAAGGTTATGGCTATATTGGGTCCAAGAACCCCGACTCGTTGGAGTGCGGAACGCCACACATGCCCACATAGTTTTTGCCAAACGTGCAGTGGACGATGAAAACAACCAAAACCTTCCTGCCGCTGAAACGATTTTTAAAAACACATATTGGCTACAGCATGATGGGCAGGAAGGGCTATGCGACCGTTGAAACGTCGAGTAGACGGGGGGGAACGAGGGCATGTTCGCAAGGGCATGGCGAGAGGAGCGAGTGATTGCGGGAGAGAGAGAGAGAGACAGAGGGAAAGAGACAGAGAGAGAAAGAGAGAGAGAGAGAGAGAGAGAGAGAGAGAGAGAGAGAGAGAGAGAGAGAGAGAGAGAGAGAGAGAGAGAGAGAGAGAGAGAGAGAGAGAGAGAGAGAGAGAGAGAGAGAGAGAGAGAGAGAGAGAGAGAGAGAGAGAGAGACAGAGAGACAGACAGAGACAGAGACAGAGAGGTGCCATGGTGGTGCATTACTTCTCTCTAGTTGATGTGTAATAGCTTCGACCAGGTCCTAACTGCAGTAGTTTTTTTGTTGTTTCAATTCTTGTTGCTGGAATTCAGGAGCATGACTTCATCCGCGCAGGCGGTGCCGCCGACCCAGACGACGACGACAACGACAACGACAAAGACAACGATACCGACTCCGACGAGGACAGCCAAGATTCAGACGCTGTCGCAAGAACGGCAAGAGGAGAGGAAGACCGCGGGGGTGGGGGCTCCGCGGGTCCGGGAGGGGAAGGGGAGGGGGATGGGGAGACATCTCGCCAGATGGCCGCGCTGCGCGCTTATTTGGACGAACAGGTGGGTTTGAGAGTCGGGTTGTTGGTGTTTTTTTGTTCAAACTTTTTCACTAAACTTGGATGGGACATGAAGGAATGATTACAGTATGACATCACTTTCGAGCTATGGTACCTTTTTACCTTTTCGTTGTCTTACAGTGTCTTCTTCTCTTGCCTCCTGGTTGGCAGCCCATGGTGCCTCTGGTTAGCAGTCGATGGTGGTGGTACTGGAGATGCGGGTGATGTAGATGCTGTTGGTGCTGTTCTCGCCTCGTTAACCGGAAAACCGCAGCAACGGCCTGGGAAAAAAGAACCCGTAGCAAAAGTTGAAATAACCGGCACGGATTCAAATATCTGCTGAAATATCTTTTGTTAGACCTTTGTCTCTGTTTTATTTTCCGTTTTCGTTCATGTGTACAGTCTTGCATCTTGTCCTATCCTATCCTATCCTGTCTGAACAAAAATACAAAATCGGGCCAG